AAATGTTGTAGAGTGAACTAGAGCAGAGTGTGTTTACTGTCAGATACCTGCCTGCCATTTCAATAAAATAGAAACAGCCATTATAAAACCTTTATTCAGGAATCAAACAAGATATCAAAATGGTGCAGCTGTGGGACACAAATATAACGTAGAGAACTTTGTTCCAAAGTTAGAAATCCATCATGTGAGAAACGGACGGCTACTCTGTTAAAACGACTATTAGAGGAGATTTCTTCAACATTTGTCAGTAGTTAATGCTGTCAGCTGTGTTCTGACTCTTCTGGAATTTGAAATGAAAAACCAAAGAAGACTGCAGTGTGACAGGAGGGTCACAGGTTTGATCTCCACAACAGCTGGGGTTCAGGGACAACCTTATGTATGTTAGTGTGCTCAAAACAGGTGTGTGACCAAAACAAGCCACAAGAGTGGACACATTTTTGTGAAAATAGACCTCAAATAGCATGATTATTGTTCTAAATCCTCCAAACTTGCATGTTAATTACATAATGCTATGTAATCATGATGGAACAGGTGACGTAGCATTGTGAGTGAAGGTTTGCCTCTGGTTGAAACGTGTGGAAAAACAACAGACTTGTGTAGAAAAGGTCTCACATGCACAGCAGCACTTCACAGGGGGCGAGCAGTGAGAAACAGCTGCAGCAGCTGCTTCCTTTAGGCAGAGAACGCTGCAGAAATCTGCTCACAGAGAAACAGAGGAGCAGATATTATGACATGTGCTGCATTCATGCTGCTCTCTTTGTTCCATGTTTCTTCTCACTGTGTCTGTTAGTCTATTTGTGCACCTGTAGCCCTTTACTGACTGCGTTTCTGCTCCGTCTCTAGTGGTTTTTCTCTGTCATGACATCTGTCTTTGCACCTGTGGCTCAGCCTGGACTTGCTCTAAATTCCAGGGTTTGTTTTCCCTCTTGGGGTTTCCCTCCTTAAAATTTTCTTTAGTCCTCTTCCTCCTTTTTTTTTTTCTGCAATCAAATCTGCTGACAGAGTAACAAAAGCTACAACAGGCAAAGGTTTAAGGTTGTTGTCTTCTAAACAGCCAACAAAATACCTCTTCCACTTTGTACATACGCAGATATCTGTTATCGCATACAGATATTTTTTAATCCTTTGTAGAGAGAATTGTAGAAATGATCCCCAACAGTAATGACTGAGGACTCCACTCAGAAACATCTGGACTTAACAACGTTAGAACGTTTGATTCTGTCATCCTCTGTTTTGTTAGAAAGAAGTCTGGACTCACAAATCAGGGTGACTTTAACCCTATTCAGGANTTTTTCCTCTCTTTGGGCCCATTATCTGACATATAGAGCTCTCTGCATTACTGGACCACTGAGAGCTCATTTTAATGTAAATACTCAGACTTCCACTAAAGAGGAAAAATAGTGCCCACAGATGCAATTTGTACTCCCTTTAGCTGGCCTTTTATGAGGCGAATGATAATGGCAAACGGTACAAATAAAGATGAGAATGTAGGGTTTATGTATGTAAATGGAAGATTCTATAATGATGCATTGTGAAATCATAAAGAGGCTCATCTCATACGTCTATGCTTTTATTTACCTCTGTGCATAAAATCTGTCCTAACAGCCATTCAGCACAAAACAGTCCCGGTGTCAGTCTGGAGATGAGACGTTGTGCTGTTGAAACCACACAGCTAGAAAGCGACATCCAGCCAAAAGAATATGCAGATGTGCAAAAGGAAGTGTGTTTTTTTTGCAAAAACTTGAAGAACTTTAGTTAGAACTTTAACAAGTGATAATAAAACGCAAAAAGTAGTACAAGTGATAGTTGTATCTGGTTTTACTTATTTATTGTCCCCTTTGTGTAATGCTTTTAACAGGTTTTTATATTGCTATTTTAGTGATTCTTTTATTTTATTTTGCTTTTAATCCTGTTCAGTGAACCTGTGCCGTCTGTGCCGTTCTTACTGTCCTGTTTTAAATGTCTCTGTGAATTGTTAGATTCCTTCTCTTGCTACTGCAGAACAAATCTACCTACGGGTACCAATAAAGTCACCTTGAACCTTGAACCTTGTATCAGCAGCAGGAGCCGTGGTGGAGGCACAGGGGAGTAGCAGCGGTGTTAACAGTGTAGTAACAACAGTAGTGTGGCAGCTGGAGCAGTTACATTAGTGAAAGTAGCAGGAAGAACAAATGATATCGCATTTTTGTTGTAATGATAGCTGGTCGTTTACACGTTTGGTGATGCAAAAGTACTGCAGTTTAAGTATGCTCAGTTTTAGAGTTGTGTCAGTGCATGTAATAGTAGCACGACCTGTAGAGTCGTAATTATAACAGCAGTAAATGCAGGGCTGCAACTGATGGTGGTTTTCATTTATCTCTCCATTATTTTCAAGATTAGCTGATTAGCTGTTTGGTTAATAAAATGTCAGAAAATGGCGAAAAATGTCGATCAGTGTTTCCCAAATCCTGAGATAATAAATGTTTTGTCCACAACCCAAAGATATTCAGTTTACGGTCATAGAGGAGGAATGAAAACAGAACACATTCAAATTTAAGAAGGCGGAACTAGAAATGTTTTAAAATTATTTAAACTGATAATTAATGTCCCCAATAGTTGGTGATTACTTCACTATTTGAAAATTAATCAATTAATCAATCAATCATCGAGCTCTAACTAA